TTAAACAACAAAGAGAAAAGGAGAGGATCATATGATTAGTTAATTAGTATGATTACCTATCGAATTTTTCGGTTTGGAGAAACATATTGGTCTCCCAATAGTTTTTATACTCACCTGCGCCGCTGCTTCGCTGCTCCTTGTCGAGAGCTCCGTTTCTAGGGTTTGTAATTCGAGAGCAGCTTGAGCTTCGTCGTCCGACTCCGAGCCGGAATTGGAACTTGATGCAGACTGGAATAAAGGGGAAATGACGGCTGGAGGGACAAGGGTGGGGGTGTCGATTTGTTCAATTTAGGGTTTTCAGAAAGCAGTTTTTAGATAAAGAGGAGAAGGAGATTTAAACTGGAGAGATACCATGATTATAGGGATTATTTTTGGAAGTTATTAAACAAATGACTAAATTAACCTTATTTATTTATTTAATTATTTAATTTTGATTGGCCCACATTTATGCATACGATAACACAATACTTAGTTTAAACAAATGAACCTAGCTCTCTCTCTCTCTCTATATATATATATATATATATAATATATATATATATATATATATATATATAATATATATATATATATATATATTATAGAAGTATTTATTTTTGTTTTATCATATTGATTTGAAACTCATCTACCACTTTTTTTTCAATCCATTATATTTTATTTGTAAACTTAAATATGTTATTGACATATTAATGTTAGACTTTTTGAATTATAAATATAATATTTAATTTGTTAAACTTAAATACTCCCTTCGTCTCATATTACTAGTCCATGTTTTCATTTTGGTTTGTCCCAAAATAAAGCCTACTTCTAAAAACAAATATCATTTTTACCAAAATACCCCTAATTATTAGTTAACCTACCATAAAATTAAATACAACAAATGATTGAATTAAATGCAACAAAAAAATACGATTGTCATTTCATTTAATAAAGTTGGTGTTAATTAATGTTTCCTTTATTTGTATGTTTTTTTTTGTCTGTGGACAATAATTTTGGAACGGAGAGAGTATGATGTTAAATGCAAAATCCAAATCAAAATATTAAATAAATTTAAAAAATATATTTTTTAAAATAGAAAAAACTTTAAATGCTTTAAATGTAAAATTAGTTAAAAAAACATCTATTTTTTTTATAATAATTGAAAATTTACTAAGTGGTTTTTAAATTAATTAACATGATTGACTTTTTTAATCATCAATATAATATATGTAAATTGTGAATTTATATATGATGTTAAATGCAAACCCTATATCTAAATATCAAATAAATTTAAAAATAAACTATTTTTTAAATCACTTAAAAAATATTTAAATATATTAAATGTAAAACTAATTATAAATATCTAAAAAAATATTTTTTATAATAAATATACATCAAAATATCAAATATCATTTCCATTTGCATATCTACTTTTAAGAGCATTATTTAATATAAAAAACGAACTATTTTATTTGAAATCTTAGTATACATGCGGAGTTTTTGCAATAAAATAAGAGTTTCCAAAACATTTATAAAACTGGGATAAACTAGGTTCTTTTGAAACCATTTGCATAAATAAGGGTGTTGGCCCATTCAAACATTCATAATTTAGAAATTTAAAAAATGGTCTCTTAAAACTTAAAACGATGAACTTTTATCTTATCGAATATATTATTATAATTATATTCTTTTGTATTTTGTATTTTTAGTATACTTCTGGGGTTTTTTTTGCAATAAAATGACAGTTTTCAAAACCTTTAAAATAATGGGTTAAATAAAAAACCATTTATATAAATAAGGTTGTTGATCCATTCAAACCTTCCTAGACATTTAAAGAAATGGTATCTTGAACTTAAAAACTAACCTTTATCTTATAGAATATATTATATGTTTTTTTTTGTGTGTTTTTGTATTTTTATTTTATATATTTACGAATTATATATAATCTTATTTAGCTCAAACATATTATTAGATTTTATATATAACTTTTTATAGTTTTACCATTAATATGATCTCATTTATACCTTCAAATCAATACCAATATTAAATATTATTATGATTACATAAATAAAGAAAATATATAAGTATTGTTAGAATTATATAAATAATAAATAAATATATAGCATCAACATATGGGTTAGTCAAATAAAATAGAGAATATGTAAAAGTTAAATATTATATCCTATGGTAAGTGGAAAATGGAAAGACTTTCATATTTATATGCTCTTGCAGTTTTTTAGATATAAAGGGGATAGTCCTATTTCCATTTGTGAATAATGTGTACATTACAGTGACGTACATACAAGAATATAATGTTGCGTTTGTATCATGTTGATTATTGGGTGGATTTAGATTTGACAATTGAAGCGGATTACTAAAAATAATGTTTGTCGATGTTAGAGGCATGCAAACCAAAATCATAATGAGATGGAAAATCGTCATCTTGATGAATCTCGAAGATTTTGACTATGCCTCCAACCACGTCATAACTGAAGAAATTGTTTAAATTCTCAACCAATATTCAATGTGACATAAACAATGTTTCTTTTTAATTGTCCTACGAATTCATTTTTAGTTGATCTTGTAACATATTAAACAAGGGTGATATTATCCCTACTTTGCGGGGGTGGGGCAAGGCATAATCTGTAATTTGTATATTAAGAGAGACCATTTTTATAAATTTTTATTCACATGGACCGATTCTATAAAAAATATATGCATAATGACCCTTTTTATAAATTACCAGGATCGTTTAACAATTTATTTTCTATGTAGGGACCAAACCTTACATTTGTAAATTTGTTAGTAAGGAAGGGCATTTATGTAACTTTTTAAAAACATATGCACCATTGCTATAAATATAATTTTGCATAGAGACTTATTCCATAAATTACAAGCACTGTTCTTGTAACTTATGTTATATGTAGGGACCAAACATGGCAAACTTGAAAACATGCCAAAACACAAAAAGGTAAAAGATGAAAAATGGTGGTGTTCAAATTGAGGGGGTAAAATTAACATTCTACAAAATACGGAGGTGGAAAGTGGCATTCAATAAAGTAACAGGGTGGGAAGTGCAAACGTATAAAATTGTAGGGACCAAATCTGCCAACATAAGAAATTTTTGTGGCCAAAGTATGAAATAAGAAATTTTTGTGGCTAAAGTTTAAGGTCATTTGCGAACAAAGTCTAAAATAACAAACTTTTGTTGCCAAAGTGTAAGCCTTAAAACTGTACTTTGTGGCCAAAGATTAAAATAAGAAGCTTTTGTGGCCAAACTCTAAAATTATATACTATACTATTCATAAACACTTTTGTTTTAATATATACTAAGAAATGAAGCCCGTGCGTTGCACGGGTCAGGTATTTTTTATTGGTGTTTGGCGGGTCACGAAAGTAGGATGCTATAATGTCATTCAAATACAATACAGCAGGATAGATTGAAGAGTATAATAGTCGAAATGTAAGAATGAAAGTAATCAAATAAATTAGTGTACGTTGCTGTTTTTTGCATTTAACGCTTTTAGCTGATAGTAAAAACATTTCGAGTTGAAATCCCATTCCTCATAGCTTGAATAAAGCCACCTGAATAAAAAAAAGAACATATTTTCTATTATTATCGTATTGACATTTTTGTTGGATGCAATTGTGCATACTAATAAAAAGGTTACAATATCTACCATTATCCATCAAGAATATGTTATTTAAAAAAAAACGAAACTTTTGGGACCATTTTTCCCAATTGCCATTTTTTTACGAAAAGAGTGTCGATATTAAATGCGACATTATATATAGGAAAAGTTGAAGAATCAATTGAATGACATGAAATAAAGGATGTTTCGGATTGCTTGTTTAAAGGTTTATTAGCTTATTGCGGATGATACCAGTAATATTTATTTCGGTGGGTATCAGAATTTTTAACTTATTAGAAAGTCCTTATAAATAGGAAAGCTAAATTACAATTTTGCCCTTATTTAAAATAACAAAAAAAGTCAATAATATGAGAGATTCTAATTTGGTTATTTTACATCTATAAGCAAAATTGTAAATGTGTCAAATACTGAAAAAAAAACAATTTATCAATTTATTACGTTTTTGGAATTGAATAAGTTAATCCGGTAATAAATAATGAAAACAATTATCAATTTATCAATTTATTAATTTTTGAATAATAATTGAGAAGTAATTGAAAAAAAATATACTCACTAATATCATACATTCCAGCTTAAATAGCTGCAGCTGCATCAGCAACTGCAGGAAGACCAGATGAACAGATGAACAATCCTAATTGGCACAGTTTCTGAAACAATAGTTGATTCAAATGGGGTTTTTGGTTAATCAAATGAATATGAAGGAAAGAAACCTACCAGTTGGCACATGATGTGCAAAAGCGCTTAGAAGAAGCAACAGCAGCTGCAACAATGGACAAAAGAGTCAGCTGACAAAACCCGCCGAAATATCAACATGAAATGTATGGTGTTCATAATAGTCCGGAATGACCCACTTAAAGATTATTTTTCAAAGCGAAAATGTTTTTGGAATATTTTTCTTTATTATTAACTTACAACATGATTAGTTTAGTTAGTTTCCCGAAAATAAATGCATATAACCACCGGAAGGTCACCCTTGCCCAAATCGAAAACGATAAAATGGTTTTTGATCTTATTCAACTTTGTGCAATATCACAGAAAACAATCTCCCCACTACTAGAAAATAGAGTAATAGCGACAGAATTTTAGCGACGGAAAAAATCCGTCGGAAAAAGCAACGAATATCCGACGGATTTCCGACAGACAAATTATTAGGATATTAGCGTGCAACGGTGTGGCAACAGAATAAAATTTGTCGGTAATCCGTTACACTATACCGACGGTTTACCGACTGAAATCAACAAATTTGAAATTCCGTCGGAAATCCGTTACTGAATTCCAATTTTTTTTTTTTTTTTTAAATAGTTAGGGCAATTTGGTAAATAAATGAATGTTAAAGTCAGAACAAAAAGAAAACACGTCGATTTTGCCCTACTCTCATTTTCCCTCCTCCTCTTCTCGTTCTTTCTAGTTCACACGATATCTCCCACTGCAACCAGCCGGCTCTGCCTCCGATCTGCAACCATCTCCGATCTGCAACCAGCCGGCCACTTCCTCCGGCAACGACGTCGCCTCCGCCATCACCGCCGGCAGCAAAGACCTCCAGCTCCTCCGAAGTCATCGACGCAACATACCTTCTCCCTCCGACTGCTGTCGCCACTCTCTTGTCGCCACCACCATCGTCGAAGTTGCTGATGTAGCTGGTAGACCTTATCAATTGATCCGATTTCAGCTTTTTTTTTCTCCAAGTTTTGGTAAAAAAAACCCTAACTTATTTTTTCTATTACATCGATTGAGTTCTAGGTTTATTTATTTATTTATTTTTTTCTAAATTGGATTATCAGATCCCAAATTAGGCATTAGATAACCTATCCAATCAGATTTTGTTGATAAATAGTCTTATACATTTATTTCTTCAGTGGTCCTGTTCTGAACTTCATGATATGAATCTGATTATATGAAAATTTGATGGAGTTAATGTTGATGTTTCAACAGATGCCTGCATGATTAATCATTTACAAAATTTGATTATATGAAAGCTTATGTTTTATGATACTTGTTTCAGAGACAATCAACTGATGATGAAAGAAGTTGTAAAAGAAGAAAAAAACCTCAAATGTTTTACGTTTCAGAGTTGGAGTGGATGATGTTTGGTTCTTTGTGTCAGCAGAAGGGTTCCTCTTGAACACCATTTTATCAGGTAACTCAAGAATATTGTCCCTGTTCCTCCTTAATCTTAGCTAGCCTTTTAATCAATCGGGCTCTCTCAATCCTCTGATACAGTTGATACACCTTCCCACATTGATGCAAACATTATGGGTATTTCCTTCATACCCTGTTTCAAACATTAGGGATAAAAAGCTAATTACATAATTATAAATTAATAAACATATGATTATAGATGCAGAAAGATGTTGGAAGGAAAGAAAAAAGCTCACAGAAATCAACTCTTTCCGAGCATCCTGTAATTCATCATTGCTTAATCTTTCTTTTATTACCAATTCTTGATTAAGCTCTTCTTTTATTTTGTATAACAGGCATCAAATATTTGAAGGTGGGCATTTGACACTTAAATTGAGGCATGGGCATATTTTTTGCAACTCAGAGCAATTATATTCAGTGCTTAATGGGTATGTTTTGTTGTTATTCTTTTTAAATTTGAATATTCTCATTGACAAACCGAGTGATTCTAAACATCTGGGTATATCTTGTTGTGTGTTCTTATTTATAGTGGAGATACTGAAACTTGCTATACTCCAAGTGTATTGAGAAATAGCAAAATACTTTCAGCTCTTAATCCAGGTATATTCTGTGTTATAAATTCTTGTTGTGTGTGTTAGTTTACATTGATTAACATTTCAAACCAAAAGAACTTCAATGAGAAAAGGGCCCAAATGCAATAAGTACCAAAATACTACAAATTGTTGTATACTTCCAGCTAAAGACTTTTAACTTATAAGGTATTCAACATCTTTCTATTACTAAACTTCCAAATCAACACAGTTTTCACTTTCATATATTTGTACATCTTTGTAGTACCACATCCTTTTTATCTGAGATATTATGGTCATAAGAAAGCCCAGAACATAAATTCAACTACTATAAGATAACAAATGCAGTATCCATTTAATAAAAAAAAAGAACCATGAAAAAATCAAGTAAAAACAATTTACCTAATAACGATCATTGATTTCCCTTTGTTGATTTGCTCTTATTGGCCTGAAAGAGTGAAAATTTATTTTAAAAAATAAAAAAACTTGGAACTTAATGGGAAAAGCCTGATCTTCCTTTTTGTATTAAGTCTTCCTTTTTGTATTAAGTCAAAAGAAACAACCATTTAGTCAATGAAATCAATCAAGCATTTCATCATCATTTTCAATTGTAGCAGTTGTCCCTTCATATAACAGTAGCAGCAATAGCAGGGTTAGATGTGGTATATTCTAGTCTTTTAGGCCCACAAAATGAAGAATGTGTAATATAAATGAATATGTGAATATGGGTACCCTTTATTTGATTTAAGGAGAATTGAGATTGTCGGTCCCATAAACTTAATGTACTGAGAATTGAGTTTATTGGGAGATAAAATGGTAAATGGTATGAAAGAATAACAGGAAACAACAAAGTATTTTACCTCTTTTACTGATATAATTAAAAAAAATTAGCATTTATTTAAATCTAAGAAACTTCCACATCATGGGATGAACATCAGAAGTATACTGCTTCCACAATGACCCCAATGCCGGTAACTGTCAAATCCAAATAGAAAGTTTAATTTTAGGGATTTTACTCTAATTTATATGATGTCTTACGTTTTTGTCCCTCTTGGTATTTATATGACTCTCTACTACATCAGGATTTTTAATGACTTTGGTGTGTTTTTGTCCCTCTTGCTATTGCTATGTTGCATATGGTGAAGGGTAGTTTGGTAAATTTAAAATTATTTCAAGGGAAGTGATACAATTTTAGTAACTAAAGTTGGGTTTAATGTTTTTTTTTTCATTTGTTTTTGTCTGATGTTTGTCGCAGGAGGAATTAGTTATCCATGAAAAGGGTCTTTTGCTTCAACTTCCATTGAGATAAATACCCCTGGAGAAGGTATGTCGATATCTTATGTAGAGTGTTGTGGATTATTTTATCTTAACTTATTCATAATTTTATTTTTCTATGCAATGATATGGATGTTTTCGTGCATGTGAGTATATGGAACATGATAAATAAAATATTTTCCCATCTTTATACTTCTAATCTTTGTTCGTGTATCCATCTATTGTATTGTAAAAAATAAAATGACAAAGTTGTCCCTAATATGAATTAATGTTACTTTTTTATTTAAATTACATTTACCCTTTTATTTTGATTGCATACATAAATTTTTTGATTTTTCTTTCACTTTAATGATGTTTTTCTATTTGCTTTTTTAGAGTAAATAAGCCAAACTGTCTGCATAAGCCAAAATGACCATTTTGCCCTTTCTTAATTTGCAAAACATCATTTCAGGAAAACAACATGGACGGATCAGCTATCTCAGAGGTGCAAAAGAGACTGAACTGTTTCATTTTCTGGTCACAATCTTCAAGTTTTTCATGAATCAGAAGATAAAGATTTTCTTGAGATTGCATCAAGGATAAATGAAAATAAAACATTTAATAATAAACAGGTCAAATATCTTTACTTACTTCTTTCTCTTTCTCTTTTTGTCATGTATATACTGAAATATATTATATATAACAATTATCACATTTTGGAATATTTTATAAAATGAAAGTGCATTCCTATTGCATTCACCAAATTAAACCCATGTGTAATTTTCAGTGATTTTTCTTATATCAAGTATCATATAAAAAATAGGGTCTTCACAGAATTTGCTGATCAATTTTTTTTTAACTTTTTTTTTCACAGAAATCTACATTTTTCATCTAACATCTAATACCATGGGGCCCATGTAGTCATAATTGCTACTTGTTAATATCATTCATTTTTACTTTTTTATTCCCCTTTATTGTCAACATTGGAGGGCATTTATGGTATTTGACAACATATAAATATTTCTCTAGCTAACAACTCTCAATGATAGGTGTGGAATCACGAGCTAATCAAGAAGAAATTCTCTATTGGTTGTTAACAATATTTGACAATATGGATTGAAATTTATAGATTTAATGTATGTCAAATGATTGAAATTTATGGATTTATTTTTATATTTGTTGGTTTTAAAATATAGATTTGATGTATTTTTAAAATATTTATGTGTTGAATATGTAATTATTTTTAGTTTTTAATTTCTTCATTAATTTGTAAATTTTTTTATAATGCCAAAATCCGTCGCTAATCTGTCACAAAAACAATTGTAGTCATTTTGAGATTCTGTCAGTAATCTGTTAGTAAGTTATTCCAAATTCCGTCGGTAATCTGTTAGTAAGTTATTTCAGATTCCGTTGGTAATCCGTTAGTAAAATTTTCCGTCGATAATCCGTTGCAAACAAATTCCGTCGGTAATCTGTTGCAAAATATATTCCGTTGGTGATCTGTTACTATTTCCGACGGAAAAATCCGTCACTAAAAATTAGCCATAGCTGTCGAAAATCCGTTACAAACAACTAGCGACAAGAATATACCGACGGATTTTGGTGTGTTACAATTCCGTCGGTAAAGAGCATTAGCAACGGATTACCGACGGGTTTGGCCGTCGGTAATGCTCTTTTTTGTAGTAGTGCCCTGATACCCAAAAAAAAGTTACAAATCAGATCTGGAAAGTTAAAAAACTATAAAAAAAAACTGGAAAGTTACAAATCGGACTCTTATCTGCAAATGAAAATTTCAACCTATACTTAAATGGACACTGTTTGATTGCATACAAACATCAAAAACTACTACGAATGAGCATGCAAAGAAAGTAAGGTAAAAAGACAGGGAATCACCGTGTGCTTTTTCATCTTATACCCCTTTGCAGATACAATTGTGACAGAAGTTATTCCCATCTGCAATTAACAGAAAGTATGAAGATCATCTTAATGCAGATGTCAAAAGTCGGAGGTAAGAAAAAGATTGAATAGTTATTTGGACAACACAATTGAAAAAGAACCAAGTAGAATCCAATAAGACTGTGACTTGCTTTAACAATAATGGTCAATTTTGATACAATATGGAATTTGTGGAATCAGATGTTTCATGTCTTTTTTTACTGATGCATGTATCAATATAGATAGCTTTGGTGATTTCATCATCGGATGCATACAAGGACTGGGTTATAAAGATTCATAAAGCAAGAAAAATTCTAGTAATTATACAACTCAATGTATAGTAGATGGAGTAGTAATGCCCAGACAATAGATAAGTAGGCCATGTAATAGCAGGAATATTAACAAATACCTGGCGTGCATTGTATATGGCAGAATAAAGGGAAAAAAAGTTGACGAAAATGAAAGAACAATATGTATGAATCATAATCAAAGAAAAGAACAACAAAATGGTAATGGTATTCCATATAAATTGGAGCAGGTGGAAACATACAGAGGATCCAAGAAAACAAAGGTAAATTTGCACCAATGTAATTTTCTAAATTTGTACAAAAAAAAAACACCTGTTGTCAATAATTACGTCAAATTAAAAGCATAAGATTGAAAATGACCTCAACAGAAGATTCGTAGCGTGTTCTATAAACCCCCTGCAACCTCCTCCGGAACTTGTGCAAGAGATAACATAAATCAAATATGAAACACATGTTGACTACTGAGATAGAAAGACGCTACGAATCCTACATTCCAAATCGAAATGGATAAGAAATTGTAGAAATTGGTCAACTATGGTGTGGATCAACAACATATTTGACGTACAAACATGTAGACAGAAAGAGAGGAAGAGAGAATCGATACTATGGGGAGAGTAAGCAAAGTAAGCTCTGTAAGTGCAGATGTGTTCCTCGGCTTGAATCGCACCCTTTTAAACTCTGTTAGGAAGAAGCCCTATATTTCTCCTTCCTGCCATTCATCCTCTTGCAATCTGTAAGCAATATCCAACACAAATTAAAACGATGCACTCAACCACGTTGAGATGTGGGCAGATTTCAACAAAAATTACACAAATGAATAAACCATTTGCACCGTTTTCCATGTGTTCTCTCACACACACAGTTGGACAGATATGATTGGTGGGTAAGAGACAGATCTACAACCAATTAGGGTTTAAAAGCCATTAAGCTACCTGAGAAGATGGAGGCGACAACAATTTCCAAAGAGGGGCTAACCACGACGATGAACACCTGGGAAACAGAGAAGATGAACGACAATTAGAACGAAAACATTTGAAGAGCTGAATAGAACATAACACCGACGATAGGAAATCGAGGAGTCGACAGCCATTCAAATTGGGAAGTGGAAGCAATCGGCAAACATCCATGAAAGAAGAGATATAAAGAACTCGTCGGAGTCTTCTGTAGTAGAAGCGGACTCGCCGGCATCGGCTATAGCGGAATTGAAGAGTTGAATAGCAGATTCGGTTTGAAGGGTAGGACTTGGTGGAGGTTGATGATTCTCAGAAGAAGAAGAAACGTCGGAGAAAGCGGAGGGAAGATGGTCAGGCGAGAAGAGGAGAAGAGGTTGTAATAGAGGTCGATGAAGTAGCCAGGATGGGTGAAGAAGAAGATAGTAGAAGATCGGAGGTTTTGTGCTGAGGAAGATAAAGCGAGCGGAAGGATCGGGAACAAAATTTGGAGGCCGGTAGGGAATGGAAGGAACTGATAAGCGAGGCGGTGGGAATGATCTGGAAGATCGAGGCGCACAAACAAAATGATACGAATAAAAATAATTAAAGAAGTACAGGGACCGGATATGTAAATCAAGGGATCAAACCTGGACAAAGTATGCCAATTTCACTGTTCCTTTCGTCTACAACTTTAATATATATATAATAATTATAATTTGTAATTTTTTGAATTTTAATAATATGGTGTGAGTTATGTTGTTTATCTTTGTATATATATAATTATAATAATATTCAATATTCAATATTTGTATTGATTTGAAGGTATAAATGAGATCATCTTAATGGTAAAAATATTTAAAGTCGAAAATAAAGATTCGATATGGTAAAAGTCGAAAATAAATATTAAAAAAAACAAAATATATAAGTATTAAGGTATTATATAAGATAAGGGTTATTGTTGTAAGTTTTAAGGGACCATTTCTATAAATGTATGATCTAGGTATGATTTGAGCGGGCCAATTAAGAGCCGTATTTCTGCAAACGGTGTTAAAAAAAAAATAAACAACAACTCATTTTTACGAATATTTAAAAAAACTGACCTGTTTTTGTAAAAAACTTATAGTTGTGATCTTACCAACATACATCACTTTGAAGTATTGAAAGAAATTAAAGGTTAGAGCATCTCCAATGGTAAACCTATCATACCACTTAAAATTTTTGCCACCTTATTATTATAATACTTTTAAACTCTAATTAAATAAGCCTTAAACTTTTTTAATAATTTTTTATAAATTTTACTTATTGACCCTCATCTATCTAAAATGTTCATAAAATTTTTCTCATTTAATTAATTATCTTTAAACATATTATACTTTAGTATTAAATATTTTAAATTAAGGTTATCTTTAGAAATTAATACATAAATATTTCATAAATTAAAAACTATGATAGAAATAATTAAATAGTTAAATAAATGAAAAATATTTAAAACTAGAATATAATTAAGGGGTAAATATAAAATATGTTAAAAATAGAAGGGGGTGAAATGTTTAATGCTTAATACTAGTATTATATTGACCACTCAATATATAATATATATTGAGTGGTCAATATAAATACACAAAAAGCATATAAATAACAAAAAACAATTCACAAATAAGTGATGAATCAATATAAAAAAGGCTATAAAATAAGTCATTGGAGATGTTTTTACTGGAGATGCTGTTAGGCAAGTTTAATACAGTACATGCACTTGATCAGTTATGTACCTACATAGTTATATGGCATGCTTCCCATTTAATGAATATTGACTTTGGTTTTGAACGACTTTCGAGCATTACTGTATTTGGCAAAAGGAGGCGATGATCACTTTAAATCTGTTTTCGTTACAATGGGGTTGTTAGCATCTGTCACCATCTTTGATCTTATTTTCCAAAATTAATTTTCTTTTACTAAGACGTGTATCAATAAATCTCAATAAAAAGGAAAGAGATCTCTCCATCCTTAACAATCCAAAACTGAAAAACACTCTGGCATCTCGTGCTTGAACGACGGAAGTAAAACTTCGTCCACCATAATCCTTTGATACTCGATAGTGGCTTCACCACAGCAGCAAGCGACTATGGATGACTTCCCAGGAGAAATTTTATCAGAAATATTCATCCGGTTATTGGCAAAACAGCTTGCTCAAATGCGTTGTGTCTCTAAATCTTGGAATGCTCTCTTATCACAACCCTCTTTCATAAAATTTCACCTGCGTCGTTCCATCCATAACAACGATAAAACTATATTGGTGTTCATGAACGACGTATTTTCTTTTGACAGAAAACCATTCACAGCACATTCCACTCGATCTCCCCATCTCGAACCATTCACTAATTTCATCAAACTCCCGATTAATCTCCAGAAAAGATATTATAGAGTTATAGGTTCAGTTAATGGCCTAATTTGTTTTTCTGACGCATCAGATGTTAACATTTGGAACCCTTCTCTGAACGCCATGTTAAATATCCCCCCAACTCTCTATTCCTTCCCATTGTTATAGTGATTCCACCGTATGTCATATCCGGTTTGGGTTTGATCCAAAAACGGATGATTACAAAGTCGTTAAGTTTATGGGTGTTCACCGACAACCTAGTACTAGCCGGTCTAACGGATATTTCATTCAAGATTGGCAACAAACTGTAATTTATAGCATGAGAAAAGGTTCCTGGTATTTAATCACTCAAAGGTTTCCATCGTGCGTGACAAGGATTCATTCTCAAGCTGCAGTTTGTGTAGATGGCCATGATGGTCATCTTCATTGGCTTGGTTATATTGATGAGGAGATGAAGGCACAAACGATAGTGGCATTTGATTTGGGCGTGGAGACATTCTGTGAGATACCTCTTCCACATTCTATACTACATCACCATGGACACTACTGGTTCAGTGTGTTAGGAGTTTTGGATGGAAAGCTTTGTGCGATGTCAAGGGCTAAAGGTGAGAGATGCGAGGTGTGGGTAATGGAAGAGTATAGGGTGGCTGAATCATGGGTCAAACATCATGTTTTTTCACAGTTTAGTGGTATAATTCCAATTGGATTCACATTACACACTGAGTTTGTTTTTTATGGATATCCTCATGGTCTAGCTTTGTTCGACCCAATTTCAGCCAAGGTTAAAAGCATAGATACTCCAGCTACACATGTTGGCATGATTAAAATTCTCGAGTACGTGGACAGTCTTGTTTGGATAGTACCTGTTAAGCGTGAGATCAAGTGTTTCAACATCTCTGATCACTTTGCAAAATTGAAAAGAGGCTTCAACACGATGGTGAATGGTACAAGGGAAATAAAAACCAAGACATTGGTTCTAATTATACTATCTTTTCTTATATTTACTTTTCTGATGATATTTTTCGAAATTAGGTTTGTGTCAAGTACTTAACTTTAGTGTACAACCTTATTTTCTATTCAAGAAGCATGTTTAATTTTCTTAGACCAATATGTAGTATAGGTGAAATCTAATGAAATAAATTCCGTTACTGTAAACTTGTATCTTCTGGAAACACTAAAGGCTTGCAGACTCTATGCTTTCGAGTTGTGTTTGAATTTTCAGGCTTTTGCATTTGGGGTTCATAATTTGATGTCAATTAAACTGTATCAAGGAATGGAAGGAGGTGGCTTCTGGATTAGTCTCTAATCTTAGTTGTGGAGGTCGAGTCTTTGAGTTGGATTATTGTATGTATCCTCAAAATATGTTTGGGTTGAATTGAATGAGCATTTGGAGGCACTTAATTAATCCAGAAGCGGGCAAAGGGACTCCTTATCCGATTTAGGCCAGGTTAAGCATGTAAGCGGTTATGTAGGGCTTGGTTAAACAGTTTTTAAACCAGACCGGGTACGGGATCGGTTGAGAAGGTTTGGTTTAAAAAAGCCAAATAACAGTTGTGTATTACTTGATACGTTAATAAATATTTGCTACATATTTTATTAATTATTATTATTTTTCTAAATTTTATAAAAAATCAATTAAAAATGCTCATGCTAATAATTATTTATGAAGGACCGATTATAAGCCTTTAAAGATTTTTTACTAGGCCTAGTCACGTATTGTCAGTTTTTGGGACCGGTTAAAAGTCTGGCCAAGCCCGTTTTCTTAGGATCTCACTAAAATAGCATGAAGCTTTTTAAGAGGTGGAGTTGATAAAAAACACTTGTAATTTCTCATAATCAATACGGATTTTGGTAATTGGCCTATAGTAGGTTGTGTTTGCTATGAACTGATTTGTAAACAAATTCATTGACCCAAAAAAAAAAAAAAAAAAAGCTTCTAATATTGATTGATAATACTCAAAATAACACCAAATGAGCAAGAACCCTAATGCTTTTCTAGTGATTCCCATGGTACGATGAGGGTCCCTAGTCTTCGGGACAAGGTGATAAAGGATGAGTGGCAAACCCTCGAAAAAGTCCCAAAATGTTTGTAGTGTTTGATAAAGCTCATCACATCCCCTTTGACAATCTTCCATTAAGACTCAACAAATGAAGAGTCGTCCACTTAGTAGCTAAAAAGATTTCATTGAAATAGTGTAAAATAAACTCAACAAATTCTCACATTTAATTTGTAGGTCAAATTGGTACGCTAAAACCTATAATAAAAGCGTCCACAATTTGATATAAAATGACGATCTAAATAACATTTCTTCTAGACTAGAACTAGATTCAATTTTCAAGTTTTCTCTACTTATACCATCATTGTTTTATATTAATTTTTGGTTTTTGAGATATTGAAAGAATTGAGAAAAGATAAATGTGTATGCATATCTTGAAAACAAGAAGAGAATCCTTTAATATCACTCTACTAACATCTAAATAAAGACCACGTAGACCTTCTTGTCTGCTACACGTCGCCGGTCGTCAAATCTTCAAAAATTTCACTTCTACAAGTTGCAACTTATCAAGCCTAATTGTTATACAACACTTTAGATCAGATAATAACTAATTTAACGATAATCTAAAACATTTTAATGGAAATAAAGATGCTAGGTAGAACCATTTTGTGGCATCGTTTAGTTTTTGGTGATCAAATACATCGTCTAATATTAAAACAGAGCATACATAAATTCACATTCCCTAGATATCTTGGATTTATTATAATCCAATTAGGTATTAATGGAGTGAATGTGGGTTTAACATGGGTAAGTTGATTTTTTTTCACTATTAGAGTTTAAAGAAGAGAAAAGGACTAATCTAGCCTTATTTCGTAGTGGTTTCTCATTTTTTAGCCAAAAATTAGCACTTAGTCCAAAATAGACAACATAACCATAGGTTTCTAAAATCACCTACGACTCCAAAGAGTAGGTTTCGAGAACCCTACGGCTTCGTCAAAAAACAATATGGCTAGATTAATCATTTTCTCTTTAAAGAATAATTGCATTTAATTTAAATGAACGAGACTTAATATTGTGAGTTTATTTTCCTGCTACCTTGAACTTTGAACGACAGGTAGATCTTTATTGAAATCCTTAAATAAAAGATAAGCAATTTCAACCTTTTCTTTTTTTGTATAAACTTTTTTATGGTTATTATTTATGTAATTTATATTAACTAGTAAAATACCCTGCACTATTTTGCGAGTTTGAAACAGTTTAGTGTGTCAGGAAACTGTAACATGCAAGTTTTATGATGGATGATTTGTTTTTTTTGCTAATTATTGGTTGTTTTGTAAAATGTTTGGGGAAAAAACAAACAAAAAAAGGAAAATTTATTATTTTAGGGACTAAAACTATCAAACTAGGCAAAGAAATATTAACAAAAGTAGACAAAAATGGATGACTAAGTAATTTGTGGTAAAAAAAATAAATAAACGACGGATGAGTCAGTCACGTAGTAAGTTGACAAATGTTGAGACAAAAAGTCAATTTTTTTTTTAAATAATTTTAGGGACTAAAATTATCAATATAAACAAAAAATATAGCAAAAATCTAAAACATAAAAACTTTACTGTTTCTAAGGCCATAAGAAATTATATATATATATATATATATATATATATATGACCAAACTTCAAAAATGGTCCCCGTGGTCTCACGAAATCTGAAGTTTGGTCCCTAATTTACAAAACCTCACGGATGGTCCTTATGGTTTCAAAACTTTTAATCTTTAGTCCTTCCGCCTAACTCCGTCGCTTTGTACCGTTAAGTAATGGGCATTTTCGTCATTTCAATACCCAGGGACCATTTATGAAGGTTTTCTATTATTTTAAATAAAAAGGAAAAAATGAAATTTAATATGTAAAGGCTCTCTCTCTCTAACAAATAAAAAAAACACACTCCCTTTACCCTTGTTCTTCCTCCCTGTAACCAAAACGCACCAACAATGACATTCCTTTGTCTTTCTCCGAGCATTGCGATTTTGTTTTCGAAACGTTTGATATTGAAGAAGGTGACTTGAAGGGAACATATAAGGTTCAGTCCTGAGCTTTGATTTCATGAAACCATGCCTCTCACTGTAAGCAAAAAACACAAATTAGACATAATCATGGTTGAAATTGGAACTTGGAAGGAGAAGAAAGTTGTTACAAAATGTACGAATCATTAACCTGCAAGTGCCCTCTACGTCTTTCATGAGCTTTGAAACGAGTTGTTCACGAAGGTCGCGACCAAAGTGGCGTGGATGGAGATGCATGTTTCGGTCCAGAATAATGTGGAAAAACATCTCCCCTGAATCCAAAATAGAATACAATTCAAAACTATTTCACGTTTTCAATATAGAATATGAGTTTTATAGTGGACCTACTAACCTAGGGTCCTAACGATTTCTTAAATTTAAGGTATTGTTATTCAAATAGTAGCAATTGAACAGATACACCGTTGCAGAAAGCTCTAAACTTGTACAGATTAATAATTGAATATAGAGATATCCAACGATATTAGTAAGTACTAGATACAAGAAATCGTTGGCTAATCTTGTTCCCTTTTTCAGACATCACAAAGATTTCAATTTCACACATATATCTACAAGTTGCAGAGATCATACAGATTTCGATTCAACAGAAAACACGGAAGGATCAGAGTGTTTACCAGAGGAACTGGTGGTAGAATTTGGTGGTGACAAACGGTGAGGAATGATGCGATGGTGGGGGCAACGAAGGATGATCTGATTCACGAGAGAGAGAGAGAGAGAGAGAGAGAGAGAGAGAGAGGTGGGGCCCTTTAATATTAAATAATTATATTTATTATTATTATTATTATTTTTAAATTAAGGCAAAACTTCATAAATGGTCCCTGTGGTTGTGAAATGACAGAAATGCCCTTCACTTAACGGCTAAATGTTAACGGAGTTAGTGAAAATGACAATTTGTTAAAAGTTTTGAAACCATAGGGACTATCTTTGAGGTTTTTATAAATTAGGGACTAAACTTCAGATTTTCAGAAACCACAGAGACCATTTTTGAAGTTTTGTCTATATATATAATTGTATTTTTTTGATCGGGAATTAATTATAGGGTTTAGGTCATTTTTGGTCATTTAACTTTTGGTTTTGTGCTCATTTGGTCACTAAACTCTTTTTAAAATTTAAAAGGTCATCAAACTTTTGACTTTGTGGTCATTTAGACACTTAGGCCCCGTTTGATACTCATCTTTCCAGGTCCAAACAGATCTTTCTGGCTGAATGGACCGGAAAGACTGTTTGATTTGCACAAAAGAATGGGTCTTTCCCGGTAAGATATGTCTTTCCCAGAAAGCCCCAAAATCATATTTTTTTGGCTGAATGGGCTGGAAAGACAATTATACACCAAACCCCGCCTCTTTCTTTCTTTATTGGATTATTAATTTTTTTAAATAACTTTTTTTAAATTTATTTTTTTATTGAATTATTACTTTTTTTTCATCATTCAGCACAATCAATCAGATGTAGAATCAAACAGCATGGTTTCTTTCTCAGTCAGAAAACTTTCCCAGACAGCACTTTCTCAGACAGAAACTATCAAACGGGACCTTAACTTTTGGTTTGGTCACTTAACTTTTAGATTTGTGTTCATTTAGTCACCTAACTTTTAAAATTGTGCTCATTTAGTTACTAAACTTTTGAAAAAAAAAATTAGTGACTAAATGAGTACAATTTTGAAAGTTAGGTGACTAAATGTGACCAAACCAAAAGTTAAGTGACTAAATAAGCACAAAACCAAAAGTTTGATGACCTTTTAAAACTTAAAAAGAGTTAATTGATCAAATGAGCACAAAACCAAAAGTTAAGTGACCAAAAATGACCTAAACCCTTAATTATATATATAATTGTTTTTTTTTTTTTTGAAATATTTGTAATATTGAATCTCTCATGAGGTTGATTGGGGTATTCTGTATTCCTGGACTCAAATAATGGGCTATAGATTCATTGGGCTGATGCTGGTAGCTGATTTGGAAGAATATTTCAAGTGAAGGACTGAAGTTGTAGATTGCTAGTACATGTGAACTGCGGCTCACTAAATGGAAGATGCAATATAAAGCGCGGACTCTTTTTGACCCGACATCTCATCTTGGTCATACCCGAAGTATCTAGATATAAAAATGACTAAAGCTGAGAGAGTTGCTCAGTATACACATTGTTTCTTCTCTGAACCCTTTCTCAAACTCAAGCCCCTGTTAGGGTTTCTTCATTTTTTCATAGTTTTATACTCAAATTTTCTGATTTTACAAGTTTATGCTGTGTAATCTTGTTAGTCATCAGTTTTTTCATTCAAGTTGTGATAAATTATTTTGTTGTTATAACTTCCCTTAAAAGCAGTTAGTTGTTTCAGAAGATTTTTTGTACACATTGTAAATCTGTTGTTCTTAGTTAGTTTATAACTTTTAAGTCTATCCTTTCCAGAGAGGCTTGGCCAAGTATTATAAATTCATCGACCTTTATAGTTTTCTTTAGCACTCGAAAATGGCTTCATCACAACAGTTAACGACAATTGAGGACCTCCAAGGAGATGTTTTATCAGAAATATTCATCCGGTTATTGGCAAAACAGCTTGCTCAAATGAGGTGTGTCTCTAAATCTTGGAATGCTCACTTATCTCAATCATCCTTCATAAAATCGCACCTCCAGTCTTCAATCCGTAATAACGATGATATTCTCTTGTTTTTCAAATACAATTTTTCTTTCTGTGGTGGTCGACCTTTCACAGCATGCCCCTCTCGATCTCCCCATCATGAACTTACCGATTTCATTAAACTACCTGTTAATCTCCAATCTAGACAAACATATGGCAATGTCATTGGATCTGTTAACGGATTAATATGCTTTAGTTACGGAACTCTTCATGATTCCAAGTTTTACATATGGAACCCTTCTCTCTCTGCTGTGTTGACTCTCCCGCCAAGTTCATTTCCCTCTCACGATACTGATATGGTTGGAGTTCCTCCTCGGTTTGGATTTGATCCCAAATCAGATGACTACAAAGTTGTTAGGATTTCAAGAGATCCCCAACCAGGCAGCACGTTGTTTCCATTATCTAAAAGAGTTGTAATTGATGTTGATTCTGAAACTGTTGAATACAAAGTTGAGGTGTATAGCATGAGAAAGGGTTTCTGGCAGTTAATCCCTCAAAGGTTTCCATCACATATCCAGAACTCAATGTTTATGCACTATACCGAATTTTGTGTAGATGGGCATGATGGTCATGTTCATTGGTTTAATTTTGTTGATTCACAGTGGAAGTCAAAAAAGATAGTTGCATTTGATTTGGCTGAAGAGACATTCCGTGAGATTCCTCTTCCAGACTTTCCAATAGATGATAGCATGGAACGCTCTTTAGGTGTTTTGGGAGGAAAACTTTGTGTGATGTTAGGTGTTATAGATGGTGGATGTGAGGTATGGGTGATGGACGATTATGATGTGGCTGAATCATGGGTCAAACATTATGTGTTTCCCCAGTTTGATGGCGTTATTATTCCATATGGGTTCACATTTCACAATGAGTTTCTTTTTGAAATTGCCAATTACTATGATGATGATGACGATGATCATTGCTTAGGTTTGTATGATCCAATTGCAGCCAAGACTAAAAGTTTTGAGGTTGGTTATGGACTATCTAAAGTTGTTGAGTATGTTGACAGTCTTGTTTGGGTAACACCTGTGGAGCATCAGATGAGTTGTTGCAACATCTCCCGATTGAAAATTTGAAGAGGTATCAGTGGTCATATGGATGGTCAAAAGGTCAAAAAATGAGTTTCTTTTGTTGGTATGATGTGAAGGACGTTGTGTTTTTGTTTTGCTTTTTGTTGCTATCTATATACATAAAAGATTTACATATACACCTATTAGTTTTGTTTATGGTTTGATTTCTATTTTAGTTTCCCAAAAGGTTTAATCAGTTTCTAGCCTATTGCAGTTCATGGAATCTATTTCATTTTTCTATGCCTGATTGTTGCGTGTTCAAGTCTGACAGGAGGAATGTATATACTGTTTTTAGGAGAGTATTGTTTGGTATCAGTCTTAGATGATAAGAATTCTATCTTGTGAAAATGCAAAAAGTTAGATGATAAGAATTCTATTTTGTGAAAATGCAAAAAACTTTCAGCCTTTGTGTTTCTAAGTATTGTTTGATATTTTAGGGTTTTGCATTCATGTTTAGGATTTCTATTGTATCAGACTGAAAAATGAGCACAGCTGATCTTAGCTTTTGCTATGGGGTTTTGAATCTTGTTATTGGATATTTCTATGTGGTCTCCTTTGGAATATTGTTTGATATTTCAGGTTTTTGCTAGATCCATCCCTCTTTTAGATGAAAAAAATTCCGTCACTAAAGGTTGATGCTAATTTGTTATTTTTATTGTCTATAGTAGTATGAGAAATATATATGTAACAATTAACAAGTAATCAGTTCCCTTATTTATAAACGAGTTACTTTGGGTTATGTTTGTCTTTAGCAGATAAAAGCCGGCTTCTACTCAGTGACACATGTGTCAAACAATGGGAATTGTTAGGAAAAATTCTAAAACACAACGAGACAAAGACAAAAAATCACCTAATCTCTCTCTCTCTCTCTCTCTCTCTCTCTCTCTCTATATATATATATATATATATATATATATATATATATACGGTTAGGTTATTGTGTTCTAACTATCTATTCTGTGCATGTAGGATTGATTGTGGACCAATCATTTTAGTTATTTTAAGAAAATAATTAATGTATATTATATGTTGAAGATATAATGAGTATTAATTAAATCTTCAACATTTAATATGCATTAATTACTTTTTTAAAATAAACTACAATGATTGGTCCAGAATCAATTCTACATGCACATAATAGATAGTAGAAACATTTGAACATAACTATATATATATATATATATATATATATATATATATATATATATATATATATACATATATACACACACACACACACCAAACAACCCCAACATTTAAATATAAGTACCAAACAACCGACATTTTTGTATCCACTAAAGGATCTTTGGCCTAGCGGTATAAAGAGTTGACGGTACCTTTCATCAAAGATTGAGTGTTTATTTTGTGGGCGAAATGTGTGGATTTAATAGTAGAATAGTGGATGTGTTTATGTTCTCAAAAAATTGTACTAAACAATCTCAGTTTTTCTGGTTCCATAACGTAAATCAATTCTTTTTTGTTCCAAAGCAAGCAACCCGTGCATTTCGGTCCTTACCAGTTCTATACCCAAAATAATCGGGAACTAGAATCGTATCCCTACTATCAGTCCGGTTATTGATCCAATGCTTTAGTCAAATTTTGTTTTCAGTTATTTTGGTTCCGACCCGTTAAAACTAATTTAAGAACCGACCACATCCTATCTGAGACCGACTATAGACCTTAGTAAACTCACAAATGGTGTTACTGAACGGGGGTTAACCTTTTTATGCCGAAAAATTAGAACACCAAGAAATATGAATTCAATGCTTTGTCATCATAACTCTCTTGTCACCTGCCACAATGCTCATTCGGTATAGACCACCATTGCACTCACATGCGCCAATCAAGTTCTTCGATTGCAATCTGTGCATTACATAAAAATCAGGAAAAAAAAGTTATAGCACATTAGAGGTCACTAGTCAAATGGTTGGCAGATAGCAAATTGCAATTAAAATCTGGAATGAGAAACTCCTTTTATATTAGTACCACCAACGAGTGTACAATTGCTTTTTCCCTCTACTGGTATATTGTCTCCATTGGGAATGATGACAGGGGTCTAAGCTCAAAGGGATTTTTTTTTGTTTTGTTTTTAAGCCAATTCGACTTGCAGGTTGTCTGTTGTAACGTTCCAAAACTCAGAACCAAAAAATTTAGTTTTTATATTAAATAAACCATCAACCAAACATGTTTGTCAAAACCATAAAGTATTAAGAGAATACCCATAAACATCCCAAAAGTACATCAGAGTCGAATAAGTGGAAAATCATGGTGTGTGCAATGCGATCAACCCGAATTCTTCCCCTTCGAATCAAAAGTACCTGAAACATAAACTGAAAACCATAAGCACAAAGCTTAGTGAGTTTCCCAAAATACCGCATATCATACATATACGTCAGCTCAAGGTTGGATCGGGTCTATTTCACCTCCGAGTCTATTTCAACTCATATGTCATCCCAAGGCTGTACCGGGTCTATTTCACCATCGGGTCTATTTCACCCCCGAGTCTATTTCAACTCATATGTCATCTGAAGGCTGTACCTGGTCTATTTCACCCCCGAGTCTATTTCAACTCATATGTCAGCACAAGTCTGTACTGGGTTTATGTCAACCCACATACATATAGCAAATAGACACATAGACATATACAAGGGCGGACACATGATTTCACAGTAGGGGTTGCACGGTAGTAGAAAAAAAAATTTGAAAATTTTCAAAAAAATTTCCACTGCTGCCGGAGACGTCAGAGGTTGTCGGTGCCACCATGGACCCCATAGGTCCACCCCTGGGCATATAACACATACAACAGGAGTCACAAAGACTACATGCACATACAACCCCTAATGTCTTATAGTATAGTGAGCAAACTCACCTCAGTCTGCTGACAATCAAATAGATGTCGGGCTGTTAGACCGGAGAATCCCCGCACTAACCAATCAAGTAAAATCTTAATTAATAATTGGGTCATAAATCATAATCGGGACTTAATCAACTAATCCTGACTCCCAGGGTAAAAGACCATTTTACCCTTCCCTTAATTGGCCCAAAATCAAAAAGCCCATAAGGCCCTTGATCGAGTACGCTCAGCGTACCACCTGGGTATGCCCAACGTATTGACTTGCGACTAAGCATACCGGGCTTCACCCACGTACGCGTAGCGTACGCTAGAGTATGCCCGACATACGCCTCTCATGTCAAAACCAAAGTGTCAATAGTCAAACATGTCATCATAAAATAATATCAGAGTGTAATCCCAAAGATCTCATGTGCGGAAAACATAGTGTGATGCGCTGCAATCGAGCCGACTCCTTTCTTTTGAAAACGAAGTACCTGAAACAAAAACTGAAACCGTAAGCACGAAGCTTAGTGATTTCCCCCATCATACCACATACTCTACCAAACACATACTGCCAGGCAATTCTGGGGTGCTCGACCTACCCTGCTAGGCAATTCTGGGGTGCCCGACTTACCCATGTCAAGCATTTTTGGGGTGATCGACCTACCCTGTCAGTCCATTCTGGGGTGCCGACCTACCCTCCGGTTTATCTCAACCGGCTACGGGGACTATTTCTCCCCTACTACTACCACATAATAACATAACATAAACATATTGTCACGCATATCTGGGGTGCCTGACCTACCCTTCGGTCCTTACGACCGATATCGGGGTCTATCCTACCCCTCCTACCACTATCACATAAAACATAGCATACTAGCACATAACACATAACAGATAGTGGCATACCAGACAATTATCACAAATACAATAATCTCATCTATATTCAACTACTAGTGGGCCGACATTGGTGCCTTCGACCCACTTCTACCGGAAGGTAACTCACCTCACACTGCTGAAGTTTCGTAGACATAATCCCAGCTGCTGGATGACAGATTCTCGAACTGTCAATATCAAAACATCACCCAATTAATAATTGGGTTCCAACATATGTCCATAAGTCCATGTTTGGGGTAAAAGACTGCTTTACCCCTATCTTGGCTTGATTCAAGCCCAAGGCCCAATCCAAAGGCCCAAAAGTCAACTATGAGTCAAAGCCCAACACATGGTCCAATTTTCCAAATTGGGCCCAAACCTTTACAAGGTCTTACCATAAGGCCCAACCATTTAGTCCAGTCCAAACATTCGACATTCTAATGGCCCAATATCATATACTCATAAAGGCCCAAACTATGGCCCAATTTTCTAAATTGGGCCCAAACCCCTTACATGGCCTTACCCTAATGCCCATTAAATTATTCTAGTTCATTTGATTGCTCTTGGATGGCCTAATATTGGCCCAATCACCAAAGCCCAATAGAAAGGCCCAACATAAAGCCCAAGTGAAATTAGGGTTTCACATAAAATGACAATTAGGGTTAAGTGTTTCTCACTTAACTCATTAAGGACTTAATCCATTAAGTCCATCACTCTTCTAAATAAATCATATGGTGTGATTGGGCTTAATACACAATTCTATTCCAATGGCCTAAATGTGGGTCCCGATAAGTCCAAGCCCATAATTCCAAAATTAGGGTTTTCTAAACCCTAATTAGGGTTTCCAACCCATCATAACCCAATAGGCCCAAAATTAAGTCCTTAGATCCATTAGGGTTCATTAGGCCCATTAGGGTTTCACTAGGCCCATTAGGGTTTCGCTAGTTGGGTACCACCCACTACCACCTCGGGTAGTGGTGGTCAACGGCGGCTCACGGCGGCGGCTACCACCTCACGGTGGTGGTTAGGGTTTCTAGTCCATTTTGTCCAAGCATCCAAAAATCAACTACACGCGAGCAAAAGCACACCGCCACCCAACACGGCGGTTGGTGGCGGCAACCACCACTTCACGGTGGTGGTTTGAGTTTTTTTTTATTTTTTATTCTAGCTCCGGGTTACAATGTTACAATGAAAATACCAAATGTACACACACACTCACTAAAATACACCCACCCACGGTGGTACATGGTGGCGGTGGCTTCTCAATTTTCCGGCTAAACAAACCATCTACAATTAT